CATATATTTGGACTTGTGGTTGAACAGAACTGGATGTTTAAAGGCCTCACGGTGGTCTCTGACATTAACAGCCCCGAGCCTGACTGTAGACGTGTTGGACTTGTTGTCCTCTGTGTGTTTAGCAGGAAGAAGACTTCCCAGTAGACCTGGAGAACTGCATCACTCTGGATGAACTTGACGAAGACAAGTCTGATAAAGACACAGCATCAGGTCTGGAGACAGCAAAACAGACTGAAACAGTTCGAAGGCTGCTGCCGTTTGATCCTGTTTGGTTTTAATCTCCTGTTTGTTTGTTGCAGATGATGGAGTCCCAGATAGACCTAAGGTAAGTCCGCTGTCAGTAACACCGTCTGTTTCGTAGGTCCAACATGCTGCTGGTGTTGAATTAGCTTTTCTATGTCTGCAGTCGTCACAGTCCAGCAGAGTGCTCTACTTTGCCAACCTGCCACCGCGGTTCAGCGACTCTGAGTTCGTCAGACTGGTGAAAGGCTTCGGGACGGCGGCGCGCTACATCCTGATCCGCACCCGACAAGAGGTCTGAAAAAACCAACAGAAGCAATTTTAATTACAATCAGTCTGATCTTGTTGAATTTTCCGACTACAGTTTTCCCGCTGTCGTTGGTGATACTATCAGAACCGAGTCAGTAAAGCAAAATGACATTACGACCACAACGACGTTGAAACCACTGATCATCATTCAGTTGATGGAAAGACTTGGCTGTTAATCACAAGAGATCACGTTGTCAATGTGGTGGCTTCGGTCGATCTTCTGAGACTTTAGGGATGTTGTCAGCCTCTGTATCTGTGTTTCAGGGTTTCATCGAGATGTCGAGTTCGTCAGAGGCCTCAAAAGCTGCCAAAGAGCTGACCTACAGACCCATCACCTTCAACAACTTCAAACTCATCGTCCACCTCTCCAACAAATACCACAGGCTCACCAACGGGTCAGAAACCTCCTCTTTACGGTCCCTGTTCCTTCCAGTCAGCTTCCTGCTGGCGCTCATTCTCTAACCCTTGTCTCTGCAGGTGGGCTGTAACTTTGGATGAAAGCAAAGAGAAGAGGAGTGAACGCAGGAGTCCAAGCAGCAGCAGCAGCAGCAGCAGGAGGAGCGAGAGACAGAGCAAATCCAGATCGGGAACTTCAGATCGGGACGACAAGAGGTCGAAGGAGAAGAAGGAGTCCTCGAAGAAGTCACCAGAGAAAGAGTCAGCGTCTAACAAGACCACAGAGAAAGATGTGATGTCTAGAAAGACACCAGAGGAAGACTCAACAGAAAAAGATGTAACATCCAGATGGACTCCTGAGAATGGTTCTTTGGGCAAAAAAACTGAAGAAAAGGACCTCAAAAACACATCAGGGAAGGAATCCACTGCTGGAGACACTCCAGAGACAGAAAAGAAGAGCCTAAAAAGAGAAGAGGCTCTTGAAGACGACTCGTCCCAAAAAACCCCGAAGACAAAATTGGCGAAAGTCAGTCTTGAGCTAAACCAGAAGCCGGCAAACGATAAGCTGGATGAGAAACCTTTAGAGACAGCCGAAACGAAAGATAAAGAAACACCAGAGTCAGAGGTGAAGGATTCAGAGAGTCCAGATCCACCAGACGGCACCACAGATCGTCCACCACAACCTCAACAGGTGCGGCTTCAGGTTCCTTCAAAACTCCTTTGACAAGATAAAAAAAAAATCACCAATCAACAGTTTGGTTTGTGTAAAATGCAAGCTGACTTCTGCAGGAACTGCTGACGTAGGTTTT